AGATATGGCGTGCCATCATCGATGGCCGCGAGGTGCTCACGCAAGGGATGATCAGGAGAATAGGAAACGGTCACTCGACGAGCATCTGGCATCACAACTAGTTGCCGAGACCCTCAAACATGAGGCCAATTGTGAGCAGAGTGGCCAATCCTCCTCAGTCGGTGAACGAGCTGATTTTGCCTAGTGCTGAATGGAACCGTACTTTAATTGATGAAGTTTTCCTGCCAACAGATCCTGCAACTATATGTTCTATCCCTTTATGCACACGGAATATCGATGATTTCTGGTCCTGGGTACATGAAAGAAGTGGGGTGTTTTCAATCCGTTCCTCTTATCGCATGCTAGTTGAAACTAAGCTGACGAGAGAGGCGTGGCTCGAAGGGAGGGTTGTTTCGTCGAATTTGGACAGAGAAAAGCAGTCATGGAATGCGTTGTGGAAAGTGAATGTGCCTCCCAAACTGAAAATCTTTCTGTGGAGGCTGGCTCAGCAATCAATCCCGACCGCGGATGTGCTGCATCATCGTAATATGTCCACAACTACTTGTTGCGGCCTCTGTGGAGCCAAGGACTCCTGGAAACACTCGTTGCTCCATTGCACGGGCGCCAGGTGCGTCTGGGCGCTGCATGATCAAGATCTCGTGGAAGCACTGAATACCACCATGGAACCAGATGCAAAATGATGGCTTTTTTCGATCCAGGACATGCTCTCTCCGCAAGAGTTCATCTTGGTAGTTACTACCCTATGGGCACTTTGGTTTGCTCGACGACGACAGGCGCTACATGAAAACATTTTTCAGAGTCCCCTATCAACATACCACTTCATCTTGAAGTTCGTCCAGGAGCTTGACGAATGCAAACCGAAGAAAGCAACTAGTGGAGCACTAATGGTGGTTCCTACACAGCCAAGATGGATCCCTCCTCCTGATGGAATTGCTAAAATCCGGGTTGATGGAGCTGTATCCAGAGATGGTAAATGTGGTTTGTTTAGTGCCCTGTGCAGAAACTCATCGGGCGGCTTTTTGGGTGCTTAGGTTATCAAAATACATGGAGTAACGGACCCGGCGACGGTAGAAGCGCTGGCATGCCGTGAGGTGCTTGCGCTGGCAGCGGACCTAGGCCTTGGTCGAATTCTAGTCGCCAGCGACAGTCAAGGGGTAGTGAAAGACATCAAGAATTGCACCGAGGGAGCCTATGTCAGCACCACCAGGGAGATTGTGGAAACTTCAACCAGTTTTGATAGTTGCACCTTCATCTTTGAAGGTAGAGCCACTAATATTGAGGCACATAGCCTCGCTAAGCATGCTTTCGCTTTGGATTATGGGCGCCATGTGTGGCTGTTACACCCTCCAAACATCTCTTGTATCCCCATGAACTTGTTTGAGTAATAAATAAAGCGTGTTTAGACTAAAAAAACATCTCACTAATACTATTTTCCCCTAAAAAAAACTGACTGATACTATTTGTAATCCATATCTATACCAATATAAAAAGACCTAAATGGGAAGATCCAACTGAGCTCGGCCATCGAACTAAGCCAATCCAACGACCTAGACTGCTCCAATGGTGAGCGTCAAACGTGTTTAATGAGCAATTAATATCATACCAAATATTGCATTAATCACAGGATTAATACACAAATAATAACATATCTAATATCCGCGGGCAATTAATATATTGTCCAAATATTAACGTGCATTGCACGTGCGCATTTACTAGTACTATTAAATGAGAGCTGTTATGTCATAATTTCATAGGCAGTCATTAGTGTAAAAATAATTTTGAAACTTGGCTCAAATCAATTTGGAAATCAAGTTATTAATTACGCATGCAAGTAATTAGGTATGCTTAAATAGATATTCTTTTAAATAGATATTCTTTTAAGCGCCAAATAAATTTAGAAACCGAGCCATTAATGTAATTAATTGATTAGTTAGGTAGATAATTTGTACTCCCTCCGTTTCAGTTTACAAGTCCTGCGCGTATACCTAGGTTGCCAATTTTATCACCCTAATATAAACTATATAACACAAAAATTATACGGTTTGAAAATAGAACATCTAAATTTTATATTGGTATATTTTTTGTAATATATGACTTGTATTAGGTTGGTTAAATTGATAATCTAGGAATACGCGCATGCCCTGTAAACTGGGAGAGAAGCCCTGTAGTGGAGACTTTTTTCCAAACGTATTTTTCCTAGTAGTGGAGATATTTTACAAAATAGGCCATAATCTACCCCTTCGTGTGCACCCAGGTCGTCACAATAGAGTCACGTTACCACGGCCAAGGACAATCAATCAAACGCCACCGTCGTTCAAATATTGTTTCATTCTGTAGCAACTCACGGATATTTAGCCAGTTAATATGAAAATGGGAGTATCGTATCACAAAGATCCTTGCATTAACCGGGACGTTATCCATGAGATTTTTGCAATCCATGTTTTGATTTTGATCGCCGCCAAGCTTTTATTTCTTGCTTGATTGCTGAGTATATAAGGAAGACAGCCCTGTGAGGTTTCCCTTTTATTTACGGCAGATCAGATCATCGCCTACTAGAGCAAAAAGCTCCAGCCGACATTAGACCAGAAACATATACTCTGCCACATTTAGACGAGCACCAAACAAGCACACGCCTAGCCGTCTCCCTCCCTCCATGGACAGGTCCATGGACCCCTTCCATACAGCAACCGTGCTCTCGGTGCTCCTTCTCATGTGCTTCGCTAATCATGGGCAATGTAATCACCACGCTTACTACTACTATACTTCACTTAGTCTGTCTCTCCAATACAGGATCATCCCATGGATTTTTCTTTCATCGGATCAGCGCTTGCGGTCTGCGAAGCGATTGGGCGTCAGTTACTTTTCAATTACTACTACTCCCTCCGTTTCTAAATATACGACGTTTTGGTAGTTCATCGGAGGGAGTAGCTGATATGGTACCACGGAGATCAGAAACAAATACTGATGGCTTGTTCCTTGATTGCGCAGCCAGAACGTTGGGTCATCAAGACATGGGAAGCGGCAGCAAGATCACGGTATCACCGGGCGGGCTGTGCGTCAAAACATCCTGCTCAGGGGTCACGGCGCACGTGTGTTTCTGCTGTTTGATTGACAGTACCTGCCACAGCTCATTGGCGGAGTGCGAGCAAGAGTCATACTGTCAAAGATCATCCTCTATCCTAGACGCCGCCGCGGCGACGACCCGTGCTCCGTCGACACCCTCCGGTCTAATCTAGTGGAGTACATGCGTCGCATTTCTGAATATTTATGTAACTTTCGCTCCTCGGTTGCTCGAACGTCTGAAATTCCGAATGAACGACTTTTCGAGAGCTGAGGATTAAGTTATCTTCTGCATTTATCCAACTGTTTAATTTTTTTCTCTCCCTTTTGGTATTGTCTTGTTTGTTAATTACTCTCTCTGTAAAGTGGCCTAAAAAGTCGTATATTAGTTTACAGAGGGAATAATATATATGGCCATCCGATAGCACTGTTCAAACTGATCTTGTTCATGAGCTTTACGAGCGTCAGTTTTGGCCCAAGGTCGACTCGCCTGTTTTTATTCATGAGCCATCTCCTAGTCTCATGCTTTCAACATCCACCAAGAGTTGGTGTTCAATAGTTCAGCTTCCGAGCAAAACTTCCTCTTCCAACTTTTACCCTAATTGACACTTTGTGAACAGAATGCATTTTGCACTGATTCTTTTGGCCTGACCTTTTGACACATGATTCAGTATCCCAGAAGATTCACCTGGAAAGAAGATTGGGTCCAGTCCTGATCAGCTTAACCATTATCCAAGTATCAAACACTTGGCTGCATATTTGAGTTCTGAAAACTTGTGTACTATTTGTTTGCAATTATGGAACGCTCTTTCTACCCTGTCGCTTAGACCATCAGAGAAGAGTATCCCTGACAAGTGGTTTCGAACATTGACACCTTAGAGCGCCATTTAGGGCGGTGACCACCAGAGTGGCAATGCCATTCGACGTGGCCACAGTGCACCCGAGGTGGTTTCGGTCATTTGCATCGCGGACGTTGACCGCCGGTTGCAGCCTCCTCGCCACCTCACTCCCGGAGTAGCCCCCTCCTTCCAGGCCGGCCCGCAGCGGCAGAGCCAGCCATGTAGGCCGAGCGCCATGACAGGCTGAACCCGCAGCGGCAGAGCCATGTCGGCCGAGCGCCATGACCGGCTGAACCCGCCGGTCAGCTGCTTCTCGCCTACCTCCGCCCCTTTCCCCAGGTGTCAGTGCCTTCGCAACCCTCTAGAAGCCGGTAGCCGCCGCTGTAGCTCCCAGTTCCTACACACGGCGCCACCGGAGCTTCCCGTCCGCCATTGATGCCCACTGCCTCCCTTTGCCATCGGAGCTCCTCCTCTGTTCATGAGGAACCTCCTAGTAAAGGTAAAGGAGCCCTCTCCTCCTCCCTTCGCGGTCGCTGGCGGAATCCTTGCCCTTGTTCTCACTGTAGCATCCAATGTAGCGCAGCCCTGCACCTGCTCAGTGCCCTTCCGCGGATGTTCATCATCAAGTTGCTGGATTAATTTCTACAGCATACTTCCTACGATTCATCATATGTACTGTAAAGTCCTATCATCAAGTTTCTGTGAAAAACCCTACAATTCAATCCAAAGCAGCCCAAACCAAGTGTAGCACTGCAGTGCCAATTCAACAGTCCATCAAAATGCACTACCATGAAGAATGAAGAAGAGCTTTATATATCTTGTTAACCATGCACAGAGACAGACTACATGAGATCCTTACAAAATGACCACCCAAGCACCATTCCAGCGGATCGAGCGTCCCGTATACGTGCCCCCTCTCAGCCGGCAACCAGCAGACTCCGAGTAAAACCACGGCCTGCTTCGCCGGCATCGCCCGACAGACAACCTACCTACAGGCCCAAGAATGAACTGAACACGTTTCATGCACAATGTACAACATACTCAGGACTACTATACTACAGCACAGCAACTTCGTCAGTCTGAACTTCATCCGGATTTCGCTTAGAAAGAAGCGGTCCAGAGCGCCTTTTCGCTCTCCCCGCATTTGTTGTGCACCCCCTGGATGTTCTCCACGGTGTTGCATATGCCGCTGCATCTCCAGTCGAATGATGCTGCGCAGGTGTTCCCCGCCTGGGCTTTCCACTCGCAATCTGCGGTCAGGTAACAGACACATGATTCGAACCTAGTTTGTATGCAAAGCCTGTCGGTTACAGATTATAAAGGTTGTTCTTTATCACATGTTTTATCAATAGCTCTGCAGAAAATACTGTAAATAGTCGACAAATTTGGGCACTCAATCTGAACCCATTCAGACAAGAGTTATAGAGAGGCTTACCGGGTGGAGTACCGCAGCAAAGACGACGGTCATCAATATGCTCAACATCTAACCCTATGAACCAAGCCCCCAAAGAGACATCCTCGTTGACATACTTGTGCAACACATGTCTGGCAAAGATCAAATCATCCAAAATGGTTTGAGTACACGCTCCAAAGCAATGAAGTAAGAGTAAAGTCGGTCCTTTGAAACAAAAACTAATTCAGGTAATATCTCACTTATTTACGGAGATGTAGGTTGCCAAATCTTTTGAAATAGCATATAGCTGACCGGTGGCATGTCGGAAATATTTATCCCCGAATTTCCAGTGCTCGGGTTCATAATATCTGACTTCCCTGTTCCGTCGTAATTGTATATTAGTTAACTACACAGAAACATGAGAAAGAGATGAGGACCTAAATACCGTGAACTACTTACTTGTCGGATAGGACAGGACCAGACTTCATGCATCCAGTATATACCCTGGGCCTCGAAATATGCTTGGACAAAATCTGCCCAAGGGTGGCTGCAGATGTGAAAGTTACATGTTAGAAACAGAATGGTTGCCACTAGCTGAGCAAGAAGTTCCGGCACACAATAGGGGGTCCAGAATTGATGAACTTTTCTCAGTTCCTAATTTCTCAAGGAATAAGCAGACGAGATGGCATCAGAGTTAAAACTCATAGCAGCCTTATCCTATAGGTACTTACTTAGCATAGTATAAATACATTTACGTATAAGAGATGCAAATGTGCTTTAGCAGTTAGCACTAAAGATGGTGATCACACAGTGATGGTTATTTTATCCAGCTCATATGGTCCATATTTGAATATACCTATATTTACATGCACATCATCATCAACTTTGACATAGAAGTTAGCGTCCCATAAAGCAACAGCCGTCGCAAAGTATGTCTTGGTTTTTCCAGATAATTCAAGGTATCCTTCCACATGATCCTGTACAGAGCGAAGATAATTGGAAGTAAGAACAACTCATAATGTAACCCAAAGTCAAAGTAACAATTATTGGCAGCTAACAACTTTTTTAGGGACAGCTAGTAATAACTCTTAGTAAAGCAGATAAATTCAAGCCTACAAGCCTCATGAAGTCTCCGTGTTTCCTATCCTCTGCCGCGATTGCTCTATCGACAATTCCACCTGAAATAGCACTGCAAATAACCATTTATTAGAACCAATTGGACTGAAAAATGTCAGACAAACCCAAGTTGAACAATAATCATGTTGCACACCTGTGACCAATGACAAAACGAATTATGATGCCCTTCTCTTCTTCAAGTTTTTTCCTCTTCTCTCCTGTTTTTCGATTGTTACACCACCATTAACAACCTATCCCATAAGAATGCTTCAAGAACAAAATGAAGAACAGTTCCATGCGAGGGAAAAAAAAAACCTTGTGGCATCCAGGTGTTGCGGATGGAATCCCTCCTCTTACGGCTACTGAAAGCCGTGTTGATGCCGATGACCATGAGGTATTTCCGCCTTCCGGTCGACTCGGAGGCCTTGTACTCCTGCGAAACCGGGGAGCCATTGAGGAATGACTCCTGCAGCGTCCTCGCAGCCGAAAGCTCTGTCTCCAAATTCGCTATCGTCTTGTCCAGTGTCCTGCAGGAGGAGCCATTTGAACTCTAGTCAGATAAAAACCACCTTGATGCTTTAGTGGAACAGACCATAGGGGCACAAAGGGATGCGTGTTGACACGTACTGTACAGCGTTGTGAGTGTCCAAGGCCTGCAGCGTATCTCTGAAATCCTGCTTCTGCCCGACCTGAAATTTGCATCCACATCAGCATGGCAGTGCTGCAGAAAACTGTTATTGGAAAGGAGATGGTGCCATTTGGCAGAGGGATGAAGGTACCTTAGTAGAATCACAGTCTATGGCGGCGAGCTCGGCTTCTTTCCCTCTTCTTTCGTTTGGCTTGGCAACCTCGGTTGCCTCTGGCAATGTCCACATCCTGGGAAGCAGAGATGATGAGTAAAATCATACAGCAGAGTATTATTAGTAGTAGTAGTTAGCTAGCTCGTCAGTCAGTCGAAAATCAGAGCTGGCGTAAACGATTTTGGAGCTCTTATAGCATTCAGTCCCAATCGGCTAATGCCACGATCGAATCAGAAGTCTGAATTCTTTGAATCGTTGGATGCCGTAGTCAAAAAAGGCTCGAAACACCACAAGCAAGAACACCCGTTGAAGTCAAAGCTTCAGAGCAGGGCAAGGGCTGGACCTACCGAGCACAGCCCATTGACCTAAATCTGCCCCCAAAATACAAGGAGGAGAACATCAGATCTTGCCCCCGAGACCCGTTGCAGGCCGACGCCCCTCAGAATTCCGCGGAAACGGAGCGAGGCACGGAATCTGGAGGCAGTCCAGGCGTGCTGAGCGCCGGACGACTAATGGGGAAGGAGGAGTGCAACTGCGGCGACATACATACCCGGAGGTGAAGAGCAGGCCGAGGGAGAAGCTCCCGGCACAGAGCAGGAGCACCCACCGCCTGGCCACGGCCCCGTCCCCTCCCCCTCCCCCTCTCCTCCAGCTCATGGCCGCTGCCCTGCCCCCTTGGCCCTCCCCCACTCTCGGCTGAGCTAGCTAGTCAGCTGCCGCGGCAGGAGGACATGTGCCGATGTACGGCGGCTGACAACGAGGGATGGGGAGGAGGACGACGACGAGGAGGAGGAAGCGTGGCTCTCCGGGTATTCTCGCTTACTTAAATCCCCGAGTCGTCCTCCCCCGTCGCCATGTGCGCGCGCGGGCGGAGGCGGCGACCGACAGTACAGTTCGGCAGAGTCGGGTTGGGTTGGGTGCCGCGAACTCGACGGAGGTTTGCGGTGAGTTTATTAATATGACAGTACTACTGGTGATTGGTGGTAACTGGCCGTAAAGTAATGGCCGCCGTGGCGGTTGCTGTTGGCTGGATTTTCTTTGGATTTGCTGAGCTGAGCGGAGCGGAGCGGAGCTCGTGGGCGGCAGGTGGTGGAGCGTGGGGAGGCGCACGTCGTCGGAGTGGAGTGCAAGACGGTGCAGCAGCCGGATGCCTGCCTGCCGGCCGGGTCGTTGGGCGGAGCGGCTGCCAGGCGGGGGGCGTGCGTGGCGGTGGTTGATTCGCGTGCTGGCCCCGCCGGCCGGTCGGCGACGGATTCGCTTCGCCCGCGCCATGTACCGCAGCGGATGCCGGTTTCGTTAACGCGCCAGCGATCCGGGGTCAATCTTGCCACGCAGGAACCGAGCTACACCCGCGTCAGCGAATGGGATCGACCAGGATCGGGAGATTCAGACCGGCAAAATCTGGAGAGATTCAACATTAGATTCATCAAGGGCGCGTTTGGTTCACATTGGGACATTTTGCGTGCTTGTCGTCTCAATTTAGCCCGTTTTTGAGCTAAAAATGCATCCTAAAAACCAATATCGGCATGTAGTTTGGTTGCCTGGCTACTTGCATGAGGGAAGTAATTTCTACTATGTTATTTGGTTGTCGTGTCGCTGTTGCTAGACAAACAACATGTTATTTGCATGTACGACAGAAGGTGTGATCACAACTTCTCACTAGTGATAATCTTACCCTACATACTGAACATCGTCTGAATAACGAAAAAACATGGATCCCCTTCCTCCTTCCTTCCCCTCCCGACCCAGTCGCCCAGCCCCCCTCCCCCGCTCGCCGGCCGTGGTTCGGCCTCCCTCCTCCCTTCTCATCGGTGTCCCCCCCTCCCTCCCCCCTTGCCTGCCCGCCGGTGGTGCTCTCTCCGCC